TTTGGCTGGATACACTTGCTGACATGGCTAGAACCCGACCTCAGTGGCGTTCGTGCTGTGAGTTTCTTCCTCCCTCCCTATCCTTTTTAGCCCCCTCCAACCACGATCTCAGTTCGTAGCATGATATTATTTCACGTAATAGTTTTTGTTGCCTTGTAGCTGGCTGGTAGCTTTCCGGAACGATGCGCATCCTTTGTTGTTAGCTCAGCTAGCATGTAACTGTTGCATTTATTTTATTTTTTATGTATTGCGGTACGCGAGCTGAGGTGTTTTACACCTCCAGCTAACGTGTATAATGATGTAACTAGAATCAATGACCCTCATAGGGTTGTTGAATTAACTGCACCCGGATTATCCTCTCGATATTGGTTGCACGCATCCGGAGACTTTGATGCGGCAGACTCTAGTCAATCTGGAGTATCTTACTCAGGTCTAAGGCTGAGTCATCATTGGTTGATTGCATTTCGGTGAACAGCCATTTGTGCGCAGCTCGTTTGATGACATTGACCAAGCTTGATTCATTAGGTAGTACAAGACCTTCTTTGTTTGTGGTTTCCACTTACACTCCCGCCGACTGCAGTTCTGATGCTCCCAAGGACACATTCTACCACGAACTGAACACTGCTATGCAGTGCTCCCAGTTCAGGTATCCTAATACTTGCAGGGGATATGAATGACAAGTAGGTCGCCTGGGCTCTTGAGTAGCTCAGCTAGGTGGTAATTGGGCTTAACTCCGAACGGACGGACAACAGTGAACGCCTTTTGCAACTGTGTGCCGAGCACCAGCTGTTTCTTGGTAGCATTGTTTTCAGACACAATGGGCCCCGAGGTGCTGCTTGGCGTCCTCCTGTAGTTGGCCAGCGATAGACCCAAATTGATCACATTGCCATAAGTTACAGGTGGCATGGTTCCATCTTAGATTTTCGCTCATTGTGGGGTACTTGCATTGGCTCTGATCATGCCTTGGTACGCTGTCGTGTCTTCGTGGATTTTACAGAGAGGTGCACCAAGCGTCTCCCTCGATTGGCAGCTGAGAAATTATCCCAGCCCTCGGTCGAACAACCCTACCAAGATGCACTGTGTATCGAACTTTCGCTCCCTTGTCCTAATAATACTGAACTTCATTGGAATAGGATTTCGGCCGCCATGCACGACGCAGGAGCATCTGCTTGTGACACTGTCAATCGTCACCGCATCAGTCACTGGATATCCGAGGGGTCGGGGAACCTGTTGGAATCCAGAAGATATCTCGAGGCTGGCTCTGAGCACTAAAGCGGAGACTATGTGCTGAAAACGAAGCCTGGTGGACTAGTCGGATTCAAGAAATGAAGGAGGCAGAAGCAGCAGGCAATTACCACAAGGTCTTCCAGCTGGTCCCTGGAAACCAAGCGTCAGTGAGATAATCAGAGATAGCGCAGGTGCTCTGATGCACAATAAGCAGCGCCGATGGCTCGTTGGGCTGAACACTTTAAAGATCAGTTCAGCTGGCATTCTGCTCCCGGACCTCTTTGTACTCAGGTGATGCAGGACGAGCCATGGACGGTTAGTTTAGAGCCTCCGATGGAGGCCGATGTCCGAAATGCGATCACAGCCCTCAATCGTTTTCGTGCCGCTGGCTCGCATTCGCTCCCTTCTGCACTAGTTAAATATGGAGGTGTGGTCCTCTGCAAAGCACTGACCTCCCTTTTCGAACGTATCTGGAGGGAAATGAGTGTCCCGGCTAATTGGAGCGAATGGATTGTAGTGGAAGTATACAAGCAGTACCGTCGCACACTCTTCTAACCACAGGGGTATAAGCCCAATGCCAGTTGACAAAATTACTGGCCTCGATTCTCATTCTTCGTCTCACTGTGGAACAGGAATCTCGGATTAGGGAAGGGCAGGCAGGTTTCCGCCCAGGACGTGACTGTATGGACCGTACATTCACTCTACGGTGGGTACTAGAGCAGCGCCACGCATACCGCAGACCGACAATAGCTGTGTTCCTCGATTTCAAGAGTGCGTTCAATTCAGTCGATCGATCCATTCTGTTCGAAATATTTGCGCGGAATGGTGCTCCTACGAAATATGTGAACATCCTACGTGCTCTGTACTCGAACACTACAGGCCGCGTCAGGGTCTACAGTGACCTGTCAGATAGCTTTCCGACCACAAGTGGTTTTCGTCAGGGTTGTCCGATTTCCCCATTTTTGTTCAATTTCGTCGTGGATTCTATCATGGAGTTTTCCCTTGCGGAATCTCACGATGTAGGCGTTGAGATTCTGTCTGATGAAAGATTAGTTAATCTTGACTATGCGGACGATATGGTCTTGCTTTTCGACGATGTTGCGGCGGCACAATCAATCTGAATAGCCAGTCTAGAGTGGTCCCATTATTTGGTATGCACTTCGCACCTTCTGTAGGCAAAGTGTTGCTGGAGGACCACCAGCCACTCTATGGCCACTTAACCCTTGCTAACAAGGAACTCAAGGTGCTTGGTCAATTCACTTATCCTGGCAGCTGCATCAGCAACGATATGCGCATAAAAACTGACGTCGGCTTTCGCATTGCAAAGACCAGCACTGTCTTCTTGAACCTGCGGCATGTTTGGCGACAGAAGGGAGTTCTCTCCGTCTGAAAGGCCCTATATATTGGATGCCACAATGAGGACGTGGGAGTGAGACGACCCCTTCGGTCTGAAGATCTGAGGCTCCTTCAAGTCTTTGTTCATCCTTGTCTGCGAAGCATTGCTAATGTTGGGTGCCACCAACGTGTCCGCAACGATGATGTGCGTAGGCGAGTACTAGGTAGTGATAATCATGCTAGCTCCCTAGAACAACAGATAGCACTGAATAAGTTGCGTTGGCTTGGGCACGTGCTACGTATGCCTGGTCACCGCTTACCTAGGTGGGCCTTGTTTAGTCTGTCAGGTGTAGGGTGGCGCAAGTCTCGAGGTAGACAGAAGTTGATTTGGCAGCGGGAAATGAAGTCACTGACGACCAAACTGGGTGCCGTTGACCCGTCTTGCCTTTCGGGCTGTTGTCCACGTGACTCGCCTTGTACTTGGCTCGAGACTTTACAGGACATGGCTCGCAACCGACACCAGTGACGCATCTGTTCTCGTCTTTTAGTCGGACTGCCTGTTTAACGTGTGTTTGGTGCTGTGTTATTTGTGGGGTAATGGCTGATTTTGACGCATGGCAGTGAAAACCGCAAGGAAGCTGTCTCGCTGATGCCACTTCATCTTTACACGATAGCCAGCTGTTTGTGACAGTATGTTGTGTACCCAAAGTGTAGGTGCCTTGACCCTGAATGTACGCTTAGGGCATTAAGGTTTTCAGGTCAGTCCCCCTTCTCTCCCTCTTCTTATTCTTTATTTCATAGGCCTTATGGTTGTATGGCAGCGAAGCATCAGTTCAAATGGCTGATGATGATGATGTGCACCTCACTGTTATCCGAGATTACACGGCTTGATTTCGTGTTTCAGCTGTACTCATTACTTGAGTTAATCATCATAATCAATACACGTTAGCTGTGGGTGAGAAACATACCTCAGCTAATGTGCCGCAATACAAAAACTATAAAATGTCAGACATTACGGACTACAATGACTAAAAAGCGATATACTGCTGTATATCATAGTATGCATTGAGTATGTGATCGTTGTTTGATATGAAAACTAAAGGGAGGGGGAGGGAAAACGAAACCCAGCTCAAACGTCATTGATGTCGACTCCTCGCCTTGTCAACTAGTGTATCCAACCAGACGTCTTCATCGTCCTTCGGACCCCAGCCAGGCAGTCGGTAGTTGGGTATAATCAGTCGTACTGGGTGCAGTTTACTGCTGACATTTTTGGCGAACCATTGGTTCCGTTCACGGAGTCAGGCAGTTAATACACGTAACGCACAAAAGGCACCGATATTTATGTCATGTATCATTAACTAGGTGATCCCTGTTTTCACACCTGTTCACTCGGCCATTCCACATTCGTTTCAGCACTAATTGTCCCCGTGATCCATGCGTCATAATTTACCATCAGGTTTAACAACCGAGTATCGTCCAGATAGTTTTGATTTCCCATATGCAAGCAACTCACATTCCCCAGTGGATATTTCCGAAGTGACTATCGTGCCCACCAAAGTGCGATATGCTGCGGCTCCTCCTCGCCTTTCTCCGGCTGTTTTAAGGAGTGATCAATCCGTACCCATCGCTTGTAATTCTTCACATCGGGGCAATGATAGTGACGACGGTGCGTCGACACTTCCTGAAAAATCCTTCCACAAGACTGCACTCGGCTATCTTGAATCTGGTTTTATCCACCTTTCCGATTGTTGCACCAATAGTTGCATTTGGAGCAAAGGATGTTCGGGACACTCGAATTCACTTTGCGAATGTGGATGTCCTTTTACGGCAGAAAATCATTATGAAAGGATGACCTCAGTTGGATCTCCGCAGATTGTCGCGGACCAGACTGAAACAAAAGGCCTAAACACAGAAGTGGTAGATTGGATGCGTCGCCGTTTGACCTACTTTTTCATGACACCTAGGGAGAAGTATTATGCCAAAGGCCGTTTTCCATACAAACTACTTGTACAACTCTTCAAAGTGATCATCGTCACTATTCAGGTAAGGCATTCTTTCTTGACTATCGGTTCTCTTTTAGTGAAAGTACGTTTTCATGTCCTGTGGTTTGGTTATTCCGGACCTCAGTGGAACTTGTCTTCACAGTTAATCCATCAACCGGAATATTTCTGTACTGGATAATTTAAGCCGTAGCGACGTGGCCAGACTGTTGGGCCCCGTTATCATCGGTGGCTGTAAAAGTGCACTCCTTGCAGTCTATACTAAGTGCATGTGTCCTTGCACTCTGTATTAGACCCTTACTGTTTAGCAAACCCTGGCTACCTAGTAACGATTGGAATTAATAACCCGTTAAGTCACCCGAAAACTATATGACGGACACCGTGTTCTGAGTCCGGCTTATTCTTTCATATCTTTATTTTGATGTCCCGCCTTTAGCTGTAGCTTCAGCTGTTTTTTCGCTTGTTGGTTTCTTTGTTCCCTTATAGTTGATTGTATTCGGCTTGGATCACTCCTCCCATGTCTACTTCGGTGAAGAATCGCGACTGGCCTTCTCCCACATGTACCTTCGTAGTTGGGGCACTCAATACGAAACTTTAGATTACCCGCCAGCGGCCGGTCCTTATGCAGTCTACCAGAAGTCGGATTTTTTTCTGACAGTTGGTTATGCGATTACTCGTGTATGTCTTGTTAGAGTGCATCTCATTGACAAATGATCTATCCACCATTGACAATGTGCTGTTATTACATCATTTTCGACACTTCTTATTTGTACCATCTATTACACAGCATTCTGAATTGACAGGCTTATTTGCACCCGCGCTCCTTTCTCTCATTAATAGTGGTTTTTCTTACGGTTTCACTGCAAAACGGATTTAGTTGCTTAGCTGGATGCTCCTTAGCCTCGTTAATGCTTACTGTTTGAGTTAACATTTACACTGACACCAGAAAAGCTTGTTTTGCTTAAACCTATATGAGGCCGGATCTTATCGTTTTGTGACTCGTATACCTTTGAACTCCATTTGCGTTGCTCTGTATGCCCTTTTTACTTCTTATGTTCATCGACTTTGCTTTCTTTCTCGACTTTAGGATGTTGTTATTCGACGGCTTAATGCTCCATCATCGCACCCTTCGCTTGTTAAAGGCATTGATGAGACAATACGCAATGCATGCATTTGCCAGTCTTCGTCCTTTTACTGCGCTTTTCAATTCCATCAGTCATTTGAACTGCTACTTCGCTGCCATAAAATCGTACTGACCTACGGAGTGAAGAACAATAAGTGAGAAATGGGACCTAGCGTAAAACATTAATTCTGTTATGGTTACCATGCTCGCCCCGTTTGCTCCGATTGGCTGTTCGCTGAAAACCTGCCCGCTCCCAATTGGCCGATCAAAAAGCAATGTCGTAGACACAGTGTACTGGCCGCCAGACACCAGATGATTACAGAGCGCAGGGTACCGATGATTATTTGTTCATAGCGACCTTCCTCTACGTTCCCTGTTCTCTTCTTTACTTATCAATAATAGTATTAGCTTTAACGAGAACATTCTATTGATTAACTAACGCGATTATCTTGCTCGGTTTCTGAAAAATGCAAGGACTTTGATCCTCTTTGGGTTCGCTGATCCATTCGTTAGTAGGTGCCCCTCCTAACACCTAATTTAAAGTCCACTTTTATATGGGTTCAGCTTGGGGTTGACCTGGAGCGGTGTGACAGGAACTCGGCAACAATCGGTCAATCGTCTGGATCGACAATCAGGTGCAGGTGAGGTTGGTGGGGTGATAGGCTTATCTTGCTGAGTGGTCTCTGTTTTTGGTAGTTTAAACTCGTCCAGGAGTAATTTAACAGGTCTAGTTAGGGCATCTTCTCTTCTATCAAATGAGGTGTAGCTCCTGAGTTGATTGATGTGGCGGACCCATCTGTCATCGCCTACGGCCACTTCATAGCAGGCATGGCCATATCATTTTTGCAACTATTCCAGGTGTCCAAGAGATTTTGTTGTTCCGACAGTCCTTTGCCAACACTTTCCAACTGACTTTCGTGGTACAGCGCAGTGCCATCGGTTGTACTGATGCTCCATTATCCAGTTTCTTTCGGAATTGGGTCTATCCGGCGGTCTTATTAGATCAAATTTCGTTCGAGGTCTTCTGAGTAGGAGCGGTTCTGCTGGGGACTTCTCTTCAGGCATCTGTGGATTAGGCGTAATCCTGTACGTTAACATAAATATTTGTAGGACTTCCTGAATTGATCCGTCTCCTTCAACTTTGAGCAGATCCCTCTTGAAAGTATCTACAAATCATTCAGCTTGCCCATTTGATTGTGGATGATAAGGAGATGAACGCAAATGCTGCATGCCGTGTGTCGCACAGAATTCAGCATTGTGAAAAGATAAACTGGGTCCGTTGTCGGATACTACTGTTTCCGGAAAATCGAACCGACTGAATACTTCGCTGAGAACTGTAATCGTGGCCGATGTCGATGTCTTCGACATTTGAAAGATCTCGGGCCATTTTCTGTCCTTTGATTGGTCCTGCGAAATCAAGGTGAACCCTTGACCATGGTTTCGTGGGCTTTGGCCAGGAGAACAGTTCGCATTTTCTTGGCGATTTTGCTGCTAGGGCACAAGTTGAACAGGAACGTGTTCATTCTTTTGTTTTGGAATCCGTAAATGACCAGTACACATAACTCCTCGCTAGGGCCTTCATCCTGTTGGAACCTAGATGTCCAGTACGAAATTGATGTTGGACTTTGGATTGAAGTTCGCTTGGCATGATGACACGTTCACCAACAAGATACTGTCTTCGACGACCGATAGTGCATTTCGTCTCTGGAATAATTGTTGTAGGTGTGTGTCCGAAATTTTTCAACGCCACTGTGCGTGGTAAAACGTGCTCATCTGTGACAGCAACGGGTCACGTAAGGTGGTGTCTCGAATCTGACTGGAAGATATTACGAGCTGGCCCACAGTATCCGAGAGTACACGGTTAACTTCCGTTCCGATTGAGACATTCGCAACGGCAGTCTCTTCTGGTTGGTGCTGTTCGTGTAACAACCGTGACGGTACATCGGCCTGACAAATGTCACTCGTCGATCGGTAACTTGATGTTGCAATCATACCCCAGCAAAATTGTCGCTGATCTCTGCGGACGATTGACCGTATATACCGGAATTCCTTTCTTCGAGCCGAATATAGTATGAAGCGGTTTGTGGTCCGTTAGTAAGGTAAAGTGACGGCCATATAACGTTTTGTGGAAATGTTTCACTGCAGACACCATAGTGTGAACCTCTTTTTCAATTTGGCTATACTTTCTGCTGCTGTCAGTGAACGAGCGACATGAGCGACTGGCTTCTTAGACCCGTCTGGGAAATGTGGGAGATCTCCGCTGCAACTCCGTAGCTGGATACATCCGATGCCACTACAATTGGTAGCTTTAGATCGTAGTGCGTTAGCATCATTTCTGAGCTTAGTGTCGAATTGATCCTGGCAAGGGCTTCATGACATTCGGTAATCCAGACTTACGGAAAGTCCTTCATCAGCAACCGATTTTATGGCCCGCATAGGTCGTGCATGGACGGCAGGTAGGTATTGTGACAACTCACCATACCCAGGAATGTCTCAAAGTCGCAGCGTTTTTGGGCGGGGGCATTTCCTTGATCGTCTTGATGTTTGATGGATCAGGTCTTCGTCCATTTTGGTCAATGATAAAGCCCAGGTATTTAATGGAGGTCATGAAAAACTCACACTTGTCCATTCTTAGGCGAAAACCATACTCCTTTATCCTGTCAAGCACGTGTACTTCTTCCTGGTTACATCCTATGATAATGACATCGTCCAGATATGCAGCGGCATATGGTAATCCCTGTGGCATCGTATCCATGATCTGCTGAAAGATTGCCGAGGCCGACTTAACATCAAATGGTAGGCATGTATACTGGAATAGTCCTCTGTGAGTCTTGATCGTTGGCAACTCACGCGATTCCTCCGACATTTAAATCTGGAGAAATGCGTCTAACAAGTCCAGTTTAGCAAAGCACTTGCCACTGTTCAGATGTACAAAAAGGTCTTCAGCGAGGGATGACGTGTACTTGTCGTTTCCTAAGACTGCATTCAGGCCAGTAGAGTAATCTGCACATAAGCGGATCTTTCCATTTGGTTGCTTGACACTCAAAATGGGGGCTGCCCGTGAAGAGTAATTGGTCGGTTTGATAACTCCGGCTTACTGTAGTCTGTCAAGTTCCTGGTCGACGATTGAAACCACTGCATGTGCAATCGGTCTCTTCGGTCGAAAGATTGGCTTTGTGTCTGGCCTTGGTTTTCTTGCACAATTCCAGACCATCTTGAAACACCTGCGGATATTTCGTCTGTAAAGACTCCATCCACTCTGCACATGCCTCACTTAATTTGCTACACACGGAATTCAAGGGAACATCAAGCAGTTTCATATTGTCAATCCAGTCGAGACCGAGTAAGTTCAGATCAGGATGTCTTGTTACGTAGCTTACCCCTTTGAACTGACAATCTTTGCACATTACAGGCCAATAACTTTCACCGGCCAAGTCTAGAGGTCCTTCTGAAGCATTGGTTGCAATCCGGGTTGTTCTTTGAACAAGTGGCTCACCGATTTTCTTCCAAGTTTCCTCGGATCTGACCGTGATGTCTGGGGCAGTGTCAATTTGGTGGCGTACGGGCACCCGGTTCACAACCGCTGTTACGAACTGCGTTTTGCGGCCCTTGTATCGAAGATAGCAAAGACAGGATAAAGTTGAGATCTCTGTTTTGTTAAGGATGTGGGTACAAACTTTTTGACAGGTTTAGTGTAAACGTTCTTGTTGAAAATGGTTGCACGGCAATGCTCCTCCTTATGCCCGCGTTTGTTACATTTCTGACAAAGCTGCTTCTTGAACGGACAGAATCTGACGAAGTGCCATCCGCCACATTGCGAGCATGTGGATGGCGCTCTGTTTGACTTCACTGAGTTTTGGACCGTTGCTGGACCCGCGCTGGTTTGATACCCCCGACACATCCACGGGACATGGACTGTGGCCTTGGGCAATCATGTTCGTGTCGTGCTACAGGTTGATTAACCTCTGGCATTCGGAAGTGATGGACATGCGATTGATGAACGAGTCCTGCCCAATTTTTCTAAGCAGTCTCTGCGTATTTCGGCGTCCTTGGGCGCTTGGAGACCACAAACGGCAATTAAGGCCTTGAACTGGTCGTCTGACATTTCTTTTAGCCTGAACCGCTCGCGATGACAATTGACGGTACTCACGTAGGTTACGAAATCGTCTGATGCGCACTGAACGAGCTTCATGCAGCTGTATCGGACGCTGAATAAGGAAGACTGTTCACCAAAAATGTCATTTAACAGAGGTACAAGTTGGTCAAAAGTAAAACCTGTGGCATTTTGGCAAAATAAAATTGAGGAACTTGTCATGCTCGTTGGTTCTCAGCTTCCGCGAAAGCAGTCTGCACTTAGATCCGTCGTCAGCATCAGCGAATGCGGACCGGAGAACGTCTTCGTATCTTCTGAACCAAGATTCGAAGGTTAGGCCGGCATTCGGGTCATACTGAAACTCACAAATGCTGTTCGCAACCGCATCCGCTGATAATTGTTACTTTTCATTGTTTGGGTTTGCTTGAACCGGAAAACGCTTAAAGATATTCTCGAGCAATT